AGGCCGTACACACACATATATGTAATGCCTGTATCACACGACTATCGGGCAGTCGCCGTGACGATGGCGGCTCCCATCATCATGACTTGAACATCATTGCAACTGATGCAGCGATCGAAAGATAAACACTGAGTGAATGCACCCCTGATCTCGTCTTCGGCTTCGTCCATGTAGTCGTCAAGCGCTCCGCGAATCTTCCACCAAACACCTTCGCCGAACGTTTTCAGAAGCTTAGCAGCCAGGTCTACAGATTCAACATCTCCCCAGCGAGAAATCAACGCATATCGACTCATTTAATGATGTCCGATACACCAGCATGACAAGCTCGAGAGCCAGCCCTTCTATGATGGTTGCTCTGCCTCCCTTCGCAGATGTGAGCAGTTCTGTGAGGAGAGTGGGCTGATGGACGACGGAAAGGAGATCAGGTCTCGCTCCTAGCGTTAGGCAAGTGCTCCAGCTTAGCTGCGGTCCAGGTCCAGCAGCATCGCATGTCGCTCGCGCTGCTCAGCACCGGACCTGTTCAAGACGCTCCAAAACGCCTTCCAAGACGTCGAAGTACAGCTCTGTGGACTGCATAAGAGCCACTGTCAGTGTATCAAATCGAAAGGACAGGGCCGCTGGGTTGCTGAACAAAACACCTCATGAGGACCAGAACATGATCCCTCTGTAGAAGATAGTAAAAGTCAGGAAGTTTCCATCAAAATGTAGTAATATAATATAGTAAAAAAAGTATATTACTACCTATCCACAGGAAAACCGACGGAGTTGCACGACCTTCCGGCGTGCCCGTATTCTGGGATCCTTGCCTGTGTCTGTCTAGATTCGCACATATGCATGCCAACAGTGACACGCGGCTCTGTCGCTGATGAATATACTAGAGCGCGGTAGGGAAGATATCGAAACGTTCAGCTAATCAGCAAGCCCCGACCCTGTCAGGATACAAAGGGCTTCGCAGTCCCAACCGCCTCGAGCGGAACAGTTGCTGCGTGGCGTTGCTCCTCCTTGGTCCAGCACAGGCTCCTAAGACAATATTGCGCCACCCGACTCCTAAGTCGAGTTTTGTTGTGCAAGACCACCAAGTCGCGGCACGTGCAATTCCACAGTTTTGCGCATGCAGATGTACCCATGTTACTCCAAGAGGGCATATCACTGGGCATATCACGATGTGAGAGAAGATCAGGTCACACAGTTTCATGTTACGCAATTATATTGTATCATATGTGAGATAATACATAGCAACAATGAACATGCAAATCGAAAGTGGTAGTCTCAATCCGGATACTGGGTGGAACTGCCATCATCAGATTGGGCTTACACGGTAGCCACCAGTTGCGATCAATTTTACACTGTTCTTGCAAATCCGATGCCGACGTAGATGCTATACAAGGGACGGGTACTCGGCATAGCACAGCATGTCAAGTAACACATCGTAACAAGCATACATACATACATACAAAATGTACGCACATACATACATGTACATATAGATATACATACCTATATATATATACACACGTACATTCACACAAGCCTACAAACAAACATGTATGAATACATATACTTGAATCAGCTTTACTATGTACATAAAGCAAAACAAGTGCAAACACCCACGCACAGAGACAAACACACAGAGACACGTGTACACGCACATCGCGTGGATGTATATCAGTTGCTGAGTAGTGTTGCATGTTGAATCGTAATTGAAGCTGTATTCATAAATCCTCAGCCCAGTAGTCCTGTAAAGGAAGCGCTGAAGAAACCCTGAGTCCCGAGCACCTCACAGAAGACGTCTCTAGACAGCTGAATTCGCACATTGAAAGTCTTTGTAGCATGGGAATCCTCTTATGGTGTCCCCATGTTTCAAGCCTGGGAATCCTTTTAAACATTTTAAGGTGTCCCCATGGAAAGTCGTTCCAGCCTGGGAATCCTTTTAAGGTGTCCCGACCCTTCGATGTAAGGTTTATCTTGCGGCCCTAAACCCTAGACCCTAAACGTCCCTTGCTCTTCCTGAAGCAACGGCGGCGATTGCGGTCCAAGTTGCTTGCGGTAAATGCCCAAGGTCTCTCGCTGCAACGTGAGGCTCTCTTGCCTTTGGATATGGTAAATCATCATATATTGTGGTGGTATCATTGTAACTATGTTCTGAGTCATCTGTTGTATGGCCTATCCAACATTATATAAGTGCTGTTGAATTATATAAGTATAAGGGGCATGGTGGATCTGGCGACTGCCAAGCAAGTTCGCATCTGCAGTGAAGCCTCTTGTCTTGCAGGATGCTATCATGGTCCTATGCCCTAGAGTCACAAGCAACGCCATCATTGCAGTGAGCTGCATCTGGCGAGCTCCCTCCACAACCGACCTCAATTCGTGGAGAGTTGCTTTGAGATTGAGGCCAGATGCTCTACCCGGCATTAGGTCCCGGGACGGGTGTGACGCAGGGATGGCGAAACGCGTGCCGACCCACAGTAGTGATGAACGGGTTCCCTGACAATGCGCGACGAGCAGAAGGAACCGTAGCTGACGCCACAAATGGAGCAAAGACGAAGCTTCACAAAACATTGTGGCCAGTGGGTGAGAAATCGCACGCTTGCAAAAGCTGACAAGAGGCATTGCGACGGTGTCGGCCTTGCTGCGCTTATCTGCCACAGACCTGCAGTGAACGCAGTACCAACAGCACTGGCAGAGGCTCTCGAGCCACAGAGACAGAGTGCGTTCTTAAAGAAGCTTAATGCGGCTGCGAGCCATCGAGCCGGAACATTAACGATGAAGCTGAACGGAAATTAGAGTCTACTCAGCCATTAGCGCCGTCGGAACCTCCGGGTGCTCTGGAGCTCGGCACTTGAAAGGAGGGGCCGCTGTTCGGAGAGGAAGCCGAAAGTATATTATTAGTATTATTATTACTATTATTGTTGTTATTATTACGATTATTACTACTATTATAATTAGTATTATTATGCCATCTTGGACATCCTACCCTTTATAACAACGGTATAGTAACCCTTGCAGTATCTCTTCGAGTAACCCTTACGGTAACACTATAGTATAAAAGCCCTGAGAGCGACCCTTAGAGTAACCGTCCTGATAGTGACCCTTCTAGCAATGTTTTTGTATCTGTGAGTTTCCGAAAATCACGGGTGCCTTATTTTGGAGTCCTTATAATAAGGATCCACTATTTCTGGTACTATATTAGGGTACCCTATTTCCGAGCCTTTGATTTGAAGGAAGTCTTGAAAGGAAGCCCCTAACAGGAACCTAAAACGGATCCCAAAAAATGCAGAGGAACCTCGGAAACCCCCATCTCTTACAGAGACGTCCAAGCCTGAGCTTGGACGTCAGCGTGACCAGGCTGTTGAAGGCCGCGAGGGCGTGCTCCGTGCTGTTGCCATCTTGAATCGAAGAGTTGCCTTAGAAGAGCTCTAAAGAAGTGCTCAAGGGGCTCCTTCAAGGGTCACTCTGGGGTTTAGGCTTTAGGGATTTGGGTCCTTTAGGTTCCGAATCTGCTTCGATTAGGATTTCGAGTGGGGTTCGCTCTGGGAGGTTCCTTTCAGAGCTTACTCTAAGCTTGCTGCAAGGGTTCCTTCGAGGGCTTCTGAACGAAGTTTACTCTAGGTGCAGCCAGTATGAGGCTTTAGTATCGGGATTACTCTAAAGGATCACTTTCCATGGCTACTCCTCAAGGGTCTTCTGGCCAGAGCGGGGTGCACTTTGGAATGATGGGGTGGTCTTGCGGGAGTGCTCGTGGAATGCCTACTTGTCGGGTATCGTAGGGAATTAAAGTTAACCCTGAGGATTAGATAGGGATCATACTAGCCCCACAAGGTTAAAAGCTACTCTACTAGGGAATGGCTTTTAGCTGCCAAGTTCACGTTCAAACTGTCCATGCACGGGGTCTGCATGATGCTATACAGCCCGGACACAGCCTACGGTGGTTGATGGAGCATAACGCAAGCGCCATCGAATTTCAAGCATAACGTGAAAAACCCCGCTGGCAGGGATCAACAGTTTTGCCTGCGGTGCTACAGCCCTGTCCGGCTTGCCGATGCCGACACCTGTAAGTAGGTATGTACAAGTTTAGGATATACACTCACTCAACACATGTATGATAGATGTCACTTCGCCCATCAAACTCCTAAACCCTTGATCTAATTTGAACAGTGGTAACACCGCAAACTCCTACAACCCTTCATAAGGTTACAGACACGCTAAAACCCCCTACAAAATGCAAAGCCTGGCAACTATCCGCCGTAAACTTTTCCAGCGCATCGTTTGCCGCCAGGGTAGCAGCTTGAGTGAATGAGGCCTCGGCACTTGAACAACCAGAAGAGCTCGGAAATTCTCACAATATCAACCACTCCTTTAGCTTCCATGTTACACCCTCAGGGTCTAACAGCCATCCCTGCACGATGTCGGAAGGTGAAAGCTCTGGTGTTTTCAACCCAGCAAACATGTGCCCAGAAAGGCCCAGCTGCTCCTTCAGCGTACCCAGCGAGCCTAAGCTGTGGGCAAATCTGGTCGGGCTGAGCGTTATGGTCATATGATACAACATAAGCACATTGCATTCGCACATATTTCAGTACAGTCACATAGTGTACTCCTACGGTTCAGTATACTTATCTAGTATACCATTGATGAATGGCCCTGGTTCTCGATCCCGAAACAGTAGGCTTCTTCACGAGACTTCATCATGGCTTAATCTTGCTTAGCCATGCACATGTACATGACATCTTGGAAGAGTTCGTGGTGTACGCCATTGCGCACATAGATACCAATGTCCTCATAAGCATTTTGTGTGTGCAGGCATCTACACCGAGCTCCATCTTTGCCACAGATCCCTAAGTTCTGCTGGAAATTGCGAGAAACATGTCGAGTCAAGTCGCCTGATACAAGCAAACTCCCATCACGACATGTCATGTCGCGCAGAGGTGCCCGTGTGCGTCATCACCAGCCCCCAACCATGATTCTCAGTGTATGTAACAGACGAAAAAACACAACAAGAGAATTCAGTCTACAACAGGACGACACAGCATGGCGACAGCAGAGACCGTAAGGAGGAGCGGCAAACACTTCTCCACAGAGCCCAATCCCAGATTCCCACAACACAGTGACCGCGGTTCCGCACTTCTCTTCATCCCTTCCTCCCCCTTCCCCCTTTTTCCTGTGGACTCGTGGGCCGGGGCTGAAATCCCCTTGTGACTCGTCCCTCCGTTTTGCGCCTCTGCGGCATGCCTAACTCGACTCCGCTTGACCTGCGGCTGGGCCGAGACGGACGACACGAAGCGCTTGCAATACAACCCAGTGCTACAGCTCAAAAAGCGCATCGAGGACTGTAGGTACGTATTCCTCAACTTCTCCGCGCATGAGTCGAGGATCTCGGATTGCATCTGCTTCGTGCGCTGGTTGATGGCCAAGAACAACTCCTTCTTGTCGCCGCCTCGCTGTGCAAAGGAAGAGCTGAGGCTTCTTCAAGAGACGTCGTCGGGTGGTTGAGTTTCTAGTTGGTCCTCTGGTGGGTTTACAGGTGGTCTGGGTTCGGGCCTATGATTTGTCCCAGGGGGTGGTGCATGGGTCTCGGGTGGGGGTCTTTCGGTGGGTTGAAGGTTGAGGCATAGGATGTCATTATGGTTTGGGTGCTAGGGGGTGGTGCATGGCTAGAAGAAGGAACTGGTCACTGCCAACTTTCAAACGGGTCTGTAAGAGCTACTGTATGACATCTATATTTAGGCTACTACAATGCAGGAGCCTGAATCATTAGAATAGGGCTTTGGGTACTTCTACTATTGTTCATAAGGAAGCCCCAAATAGTGTTGGTAATCATGCAGGCCCCTCGCATTATATTCAGCCCAAGAGTGCACACAAGCGATGTCCTAAGGCCTTTGCTCCTTAGCGCCGCACCTTCGAGCATCTCCCTGATCGCCGTGAACTCCTTCTTATTCTCCTCAGGGCAAGACGGAAGGAAGAACCCGCAACTCAAAGGCGAACCTTGTAAGAGGCTCTTTTGCCGAAGAAGGTGCCGGTCTAAATACCCTAGGCTCTCCCATAATGTGGAAAAATCTGATGGGGCCGTCTAGAGGCAGGAGGCTTTCGCATTATGGAAAACATTGCCAGACACTGATACCCTGAACCCTACATCCCCTAAACCCTTAAACCCCTGAACCCTAAACCCCCAAACCCCTAAACCCCGAAACCCCCAAACCCCTAAACCCCGAAACCCCTAAACCCTAGCCAGTCCAAGGCTCGATGCCCTGCACCAGAGACTGGTGATCAATCTTCTCACCCAGCCAGCCAGCATCCAGCTGTGCAGTCTTGACAATCCACCCCTGAGACGTTCACTTCGGCCTTTAGGCGATACTCTCAGGGCTAACTTAATGGTTATAAACAGCGGCTAGTGAACGGCTACTATAGGGTTCTAAGGTCGCTCTACGGAATTTAGCTGGCAGTCGACCGGACTCAACGTGACCGGTCTTGCGAAAAATGGAAATCCCAGGGGAAGCACAGCAAGGAGTGCAGACTCAAAGTCTTGCCGAAGCATGGCCAGGATGCTGCGAGCTTCTCGGTGTTGCCATTTGTGACATCCTTATCGATTGATCGTTTTTGTGGCTGAGACTTCGGTGACGTCAGCCCATCACATACAGTCACATACAATCAGTATCTCACCAGTAGCCCTCTGCAACGTTTGCACACGAAGCTCCTTAACTCGATGATCGCGAATCCAAAACCCTCATGGATCCCTCAAGGAACCTTTAAACAAAGGAATCCTTGAAGGAAGGAACGTTTACGCTGATATTCGTTATTGCAACCCCTACACTAAAGGGAACTCCAGGAAGTTGGAATATGGTTTCAGGGTAGGATACCCTATAATTTACCATAAAGGGTTTAGGATAATCATATTCCAACTTTCTGGCTTTTACTTTATGCCTTTCGCGAGCACGGCGGCCGTGGCTTTCTGCAGGTTTCGGAGGATCGATCGGTCGCCTGGCGAGCAAAACAAGTGTCAGAGTTGGTTGAGAGCTCTAGGGTTTTAGGCTGAGGAGAGTAACTTCTTTTTGAGGGGGGGGGGGGTGTTGGGGCTTCTAGGATTTTCAGGAGGTTGCAGTGGCAAATGTGGCAAGAGAGGATGTGAGCTACCCGAAGCGTAGTTAGACGAAGGCGACCATATGGGCGTTTCCGATAATATCGGACCCTGGTATAGTACCCTAAGCAGTAGGATCTTTGTTTTTAGGGCCCCAGATAAGGTACGCCTGATTTTCGGAAGCTCCCGTACCTTGAAAATGATGCCCTTCTATCCGGCCCGCATAACTTGAGGTGCTCAGCTGTCTGAAGTTCCCTAATTACTCGGCTGATCTGTGCTCAAGTTGATCTGTGCTCAAGTTTGTAGGCTAACTCTAAACCCTACCGGATATTGTATCCGTCCTTCGTCTATCGCGGCAAGAACGATTCTACAGCACGCTGTTCGTCGTTTGCGTCGATACGTCGGACTCTTCGAAAAAAGAGCTCTGTTACAGTGTGGTCAGCCTAAATAACCCTATTATAAACTCTAATAAACCCTAAACCCTGAAGTGGTCGGAGCTTGATCTGACAAGCATCCTCTTGGAGGTTCATGGGTATTTACAAGTAGGTGTATAACTATAACCCATATGAGGACTTTCTTATAACTCCGCATGAGCCGTCCATCTTTCAGGTAGAACAAGCCCTGTGTGCACACGCCTCGAATGACAGCATCCCGCACGCAGTGGAGGTCGCCTCCACGTGAAGTGGTAAGTACGTGGGCGGTTCTAAGAATTAGAGTCCCTTGTTGGCTGCTTAATATCTTATTTATTATTTACGGCACCCATGTAAAAATTAGCGATAATGACTTCATAATTACAGCCGAACCAAGGCATTTGCAAACTTCCCGTAGAGCATGCCGTGCGGGCTACTTTCGCGAGCTTTCACGATGCCGCACTTTGGAAACCAAGCTCGGGTCTGGAGGAAAACCGACACGATGTAGTGGCTGCCACTACATTGTCGAGACTTTCTTCAAGCTCAGGTCTCTAGAAGAGAATCGTTCAGGGTTTAGGGTTTAGGGTTTGGATCAAACAACTCGCACCCTTCGCTATGCCGCTACCCCTTGGACTGAAGGGCGAAGTTGCTCTAGGGCTCAAGGCCGTCAAGATCTGTTTCAAGATCTCAATGGGGACAGGGGAGGATTGATTGGAGTCTTTTTTGTTATATACCGGCGCGAAGGTAGGCTGTTTCAAAAACTTACCTCGCAGAGCTCGTAAGCCTAAATCCTTTGTAGTTGATAAACCCTATACTAATACTAATACCAATACTAACACTAATACGAATGCGAACACTACTACTAAATCTACTAATACTAATTAGTACGTATAAGGCCCGAGTACTATTGCAAGTAATCGGGAGCTCATGTGGAAAGGTGGGCGTTTATGTATTAATTACAAAACATGCCGAGGGAAGCAGAGAGTGTTCAACAGACGCAAAGAGAATCCCAAAGATCCCTCACCCGACGATTCCTTCCAGACCCTTGGAGATGCAGCTGTTGGGGTCCAAAGGGGACAAGGAGGGACCCTTAATGGGGACCCCTACCCTAACATGGGCTATATAATGGGTATATAGTAGCTATATTAAGGGTATATACCTAGGGGTTCTTATTAAGGGTCCCTCCTTTTCCCCTTTGAGGGATTTAGGGGTTGAGGGCTTCATGCGTAGGGGTCTTAAGAGGGTCACTGTAATCATTACCCATATTAGGGCACGTGTAACTACCCATGAACATCCAAGTAGGGGTTCAAAAGTGCATCCAGGCGTGAAGCAATTCGGGGTCACGATACTTCGAAGAATCTGCGTACTATGTCAAGTGATCCTTCAGGTACCACAGGGGCCTGAATTCTCTAACTTTGTGGGGATTCAATCTAGTACACATTTGTCTAACTCGAAACCCGATTCGGTCCTACTCTTGTTGTTAAGGCCCCTATAGTCCTAGAGCAAATCTATCTCCAACCCCCAAGAGACAACACCGGACCGAGGGACAGAACATGCGTGCGAAGGTGGCCCGGAAGGGCTTGCAATCTCGGGCCTTCTCCTGGCAATTTGTTACGATTCATAGTGAAGTTCATAGTTCATGGGCTTTGCGTACAGGGTTTTGGGTTTAGGGAATCCAGGGTTGAGGCTTCGGGGTTTCTATTGAAAGTCTATAGAGCTCCGAAGCTTCGCCAGAGCTGCAAGGGAGCCCGAGGGATCAGGGGAGAGGGGACTCAGTAAGCACGGTTGCGAGTAAATAAACCTCCTCATAATTACAGTTACTCTTTGGGGACTCAGCCCGCGAATCAAGGTACTTCAATTTAACCTCCCTACCCTATCCTCTTGGTCACTTTATCTTATACTTCTTGGTCGGATGTTAGCCCGTCGCAACAAGGTCACCCACCACAGGCCAAGAGCGTGTGAGAATTGCACCCATGAGCTGGGCTTTTCATGTTTTGGAGTTGGGGTGCTGAGGGTTTACCCATAGGCCCCAAAGTAGTTCCTTTTGGGGATTACCTTATAGGATTCTACATGTGAACCCCAAAAAAGGAACTACTTTGGGGCCTTGAAAGTAAATTGATTATTTAGGCGCGCCGAAGAACAGGACCAGACAAGCCTCGACTACGTGCAGTGAATGCAGACAGTCAAAGGGTAAAAGGAGGGACCCCTAATAAGGACCCCTAGGTATATACCTATAATATAGCCATTATATACCCACTATATAGCCCATTATAGGGTAGGGGTCCCCATTAAGGGTCCCTCCTTTTCCCCTTTGAGTGACAGTACTGTGCTAGGGCCGGCCAAGCGCCAGGTAAATTTGCCAGAGCTACCGGATTCACGACGGCGTGCTTCCAGGTGAAGTAGGCCAAGTTCTGACAGGCAGTGGCAGGCAAGACAAGGATGGTCTACTGGTCACCAAGCTTCTGAAACGAAAATTACGCACATGGAATGTAGGAACACAGAACGTGCGATCATCATCAGGACCCCTAAGAAGTTGGGGGGAGAGGGGGTAGGGAGCCTTAATACCCCGAATAATAAGGACCTGGTAGGCGTCTAAAACAATGCCGAATACAGGAAGAATAGTCCAATAGTCCCGTAACCCCCCTCCACCTTTCGCCCCGTAAGGGTCCCTATGAGATCACAGCTCAGCCATGTGCCCTCTTCATCATGATCTTGGCCCACGCAAGGGAGATGATCGATTTGCAGGCTTCGCCCGCTTTGATTTCTTGGCTGCTCACGCACTGCAAACGCAGAATCACGCTCTGCAAACGCAGCATGTCGCGCAAAACTCGCAGCAACAATATCACAGCCTCGTGCTATCCAAAGCCGGCTGCATCCAGCGTTGTCTGCCAAGTAGCCGGTGCCAGCACCCATGGGGGCGATAACGACGTTCGGCAAGCCGATGCAAAACCTTACCAATCGAAGGGCGAAACTCACTGCTGGCCTGCCCGGAAAACCGCGATATGGTAGATAACTGTGGGGGAGCATAATATATCTTTATATGTTTATATCAGTGTGTGTGTACATATACATATACATATACATACATATGTGTATATATATATATATGGGTACCCCCCTATATGGGGTCCCCTTGGTTTCTTTACACCTAGGCCTAAATCATTAAACCAATCCGTTCCCCCAGTGGAGCTAAACCATTAAACCACTCCTTTCCCCCAATGGACCTACACCAATAAACCATTAAACCAATCCTTTTGCCCCACACCACTAAACCATTAGACCATTATATCACCATTAAACCATTAAACCAATCCTTTTGCCCTATACCGCTAAACCAATAAACCATTAAACCAATCCTTTTGCACCATACCACTAACCCATACCACTCAACCACTAAACCAATCATTTTGCCCCATGGCACGCATCCATTAAACCAATCCTTTTGCCCCATGCCACTAAACCATTAAAACATTAAACCATCAAAACAATCCTTTTGCCCTATACTTCTAAACCAATAAACCATTGAACCAATCCTTTTGCACCATACCTTAACCATTAAACCAATAAACCATTAAACCAATCAATTTGCCCCATACCACTCAACCACTAAACCAATCCTTTTGCCCCATACCACTAAGCCAATAAACCATTAAACCAATCCTTTTCCCCTTATGAACCTAGACCCATCCCTAAACACCAGACCATTAAACCATGAAGCCATTTATTTCCCCCCAATGAGCCTAACATACCAGTACATAGGCCAAACGGATTGGTTTAATGGTTTATTGGCTTAGGCCTCCGGTGCCTTATACGCCAATTGGATTGGCCTCCGGTGCCTTATAGTTATGGTTTAATGGTTTGGGTCTCCCATGCCCTATAGGCCAACTAACTGGACTGGGTTTTCGTCGTTTAATGGTTTGGGCCCCCCGTGCCTGTAAGCCAAATGGATTGGTTTGATGGTTTAATGGTTTGGTGATGGGTCTAGGGCTGCCTGGTAATAACCGGAGACAGAGGCTATAACCAGGCCACAAAGTACATTCAGAGTTCGAAGACTCCCGCCGTGCCCTGTAGACCAAATGGATTGGCTTATTGGTTCAATGGTTTAGGTCTTCCGGGTATAGCACAAGCGAGCCCAAACCCGAGCATTAAAAGTCAAACCCAACACTTTGATGGCGAACGTGCAATTACTATTTGGTAAACTGTATCGAAATGCCGGGGTGCTTAAATACCAGGGTTGTGGTTTGTAAACTTGGGGTGCCTTGATGGTTCGTTACACAATAAACCTTACGAAGCAAATCTGTGCCACCGCTACTTCATCAACACCTAAGTCCAGACGTTCTAAAAGTTTCGGTATTTCAGGGAGACTGTAACCGCAATGAAATTAAGAAAGGACTAGAAGAATAGATTGTCCCAGGTATTCGGCATTTATTCGACTTTTTGAAGCATGATGCAGTGCTTTGTAACAAACATAATTCCCGGGACCATATGCACATTCCCCGACTTTAGCGGAAAGGCCATGTAGCGGACTTTACATAATGGTCTGTCCGTTCCAGTACATCGGGTTTGTAAGACAAAGGCCAACCTATGTGCGCATTGAGAGAATAACCGCTTACATGTCACTCACCCAGGAATCAACATGCAGAATATGACGTGGCTCTATCGAGATTACAATAGGTCAGTACGCGTTGCCAACATTGGAATATCACGGTACAGAGAAAGTTGAGATACGACTGATACGACGTCATTGTAGGGAGAGGCAGTATTCCAAGTTTTACAGCGTGGTCAGGTTTCATCACTTCGTACATAGACGAGCCTGTTGCAACGTCATGCTCAAACATCGTTCCAAGGAAGCAGGATTTCGCTGAGACAAAACTGATAAGACTATGTGTGGTGAGCGAAACAACATTTGCAGTTTGCAAACTGTTAAGTTTCCTCGCTCGGTACGTAGAAAATTCCCAGCAATGCTTTTTCCAACTACATGGATGAACTCTCTTTCGAGGAGTGATTCGGCGTGTGCTTCCAACTTTTTCCAACACGAGGAATCACGTTCTGGACCGGGAACAATGGCCTCTATTCGACCTCCAATAAATATTCACAAGAGCACAAACATAAATTCCGACAAGCTAAATGAAGCCTTATGGTTTTCAGTCGGCTTTACGTGGTGGTGTTACAGTATGCGGATACCAAAAAAAGCAAAGGCTTCATCACTCGGCATATATTAGAAACAGTGCCAAGCCCAAGAAGCGACACTTCATGTCGGCCCCCAGGAAAACGTTTGCTAAGCTTGTAGTATGCAAGTTTTCATTTTTGGCTTGGGGCAGCCATTATCCAGAATTAAGGAATGCAACACCCAAATGTACATACCGGATATACCAGTGTTTAAAGGCACTCACATCGGGGCACAGGGATATGCTATTGAAAGCTATATGTTTGCCAAAACTTTATAGCAATGCGTCCAAAACAGAGACTCTAATGGGATTAAGGCATTACAATGCAAAGATGGAAGACGTTTGGTTCCAAAACCTAGTTCGCTATAGGGAATGACTGAACCAGACTAATGACTAAAGCGTTTGTTGGAAAACTGAAATACAGCGGTTTAGAGATAGTCACACAAAGATGAAATAAGAAGATGCATCGACGGCTTCAAGACAAGGGCTTTAGCACATTGTAACAGGGTTTCGACGAGGGCGTGCGGGTTTCAGCATTCTGAAAGCATGGGTTGTTTCAACTTCCCGGGTTGGTCTTCGAACTAGTTTGCAGAGTTGATGAGGAACGAATCGAACTCGTAGCACTTATAGCGGGATGGTACGCGCTTGAATGAACAGGGTGAGAAACATCCATAATCATCAAGAGACTTAGATGCTGCATCTGTTGTGTTGGCTTCGAGTTGGACTCAAAGCCTGTGAATTCCACAATAGTACAGCAGTGCAGAAATGCAAGGGGGGTGCCTATATTGTCGACATCGTCATCGAGCTCTTCCATATAGATACAATACTATATTCGACGACGTATACCTGATTATAACCTAGCCGCTGGTTATAACCTAGTCGGGTGGTTATAACCGAGTCAGATGGTATAGCGAAAAACGTAGGGGACCCCAAATAGGGGTGCGCCCATATATGTATATGTATATATGCGTATATATATATATATATATACATGAGAGAGATAGAGAGAGAGAGAGAGAGAGAGAGAGAGAGAGAGAGAGAGAGAGACAGACCCCTTGTGGTTATGTATCATGCAGCTATGCTTGTAGTATTTTTAATAGAAAAGCTAAATAGACCCTAAATAAAGGTATCGGGCGCATATATGCATATATATATATATATATATACACACATACATACATACATAAAGCCATTCCACAGGGGCGGGGGGAAGGGGGATTGAAATGACACCCTGGGGGGGAGCAGGGGGAGGGGGGAGGGCCCGCAGGGGTGCCACCATCTGCCCGCGGCCCAGAGGTTTCTGTGGTGTGGTGTGGTCCGGGGTGGGTCTGCTTGTTGTGGTTCCGCCCCTCTCACCCTGTGGCATGGTGTGGGTTCGGGTTTCCTTGAGGTGGTTACCCCTGCGTCTTTGGGTCTGCTTTGGGTGTTTGGTATACTCATCCCCATGATGACAATGATGGTGATGATGACGGAGACGATGATCACCATCTTCATCGTTAAAACAAACATCTTAATGTTTCTTTGGTTGGTGGTCGTTTGTCTTCTGCCCACGTGCCTAGTTAACCCACGTGCCTAGTTAACGATTATCGCTTTATTGGTCGTAGGGTCACTATCTAAGTGACGGGTTGTCGCTTTGGGGCAAGTGCCATAAGGTTGCAATGGGCCAGCCGTCACAGGGATCGGGCCTCCCCCCGTGACACAGTTGCCTCGTTTAAGACCCTCATGTCGGAGTCGTCTTTCTTCGGGAAGCATCCACAGTCACCAGAATCGGGCGTGTTTGCCAGTCAATCCTCGTGACAGTTGAAGGCTTTGGCGGCCTCACTTGTGAATCGTGCCGGAGAAATTTGCACTGTCACACGGATCGGGCGTCTTTGGGACGCGGTCCTCGTGACAGGTGAGGGTTTTGGCACCCTCATGTGCCAAAAGTGCGCGCAGCCACACAGATTCGGCTTAGGGAGTGGGTGGGTGGGGCTGGGGATACCAACGGGAGGGGGGGTCGGCGAACCGAAAACCGGGAGGTTGATTGTGTGTGTGTGTGTGTGTGTGTGTGTGTTTGCGTAAACAGACACACACACACACACATACACATACTCATACACATATACAGTATACGTATACATGCATGTAAGAATAAGCAAGGAAGAAAGGAGCACAACACCGACTTGCATCAAGAAGTGGGCCCTCTTCGCTGCTGCTCAGGCACGTGTTCTGCATCGCGTTGCTGAGACCAGTGCCCTTCGTGAAGATCGATTCCGTGTCTTGCACCTCGGGCGTGCGAGCTGTGCTCTGCAGGCTACTTGGAGGTTCATGGGTAGTTACTAGTAAGTAGAGTAAGCCCGCTAAAACCCGAACCCTAAACCCTAATAGTAAGGGTTAAAAACTAGGTACCCTTCTTATAACCCCAATTAGAACTAGGTGCCGTATTATACTAAGGACCCAAAAGGGACCCTAATTTTGACAACCAACCACGTATACATGATACCGGGACTACAGGGGATGCCGCCAGCAATTGCCGTATTTGTTTCGTAAGCAATACTTCAGTCGCCGATCTTAACAGCACCAAACCCTAAACCCCCACGTCACCCCTAAACCCTGCACTACAGCTACTATAGGCACTGTAATCATTAGAATAGAGATTTTGGGGTAGGTTAGACTCCACGGATAAGAGGGAACCACCAGAAAAGTATTGGGAACTATGTTGGCCCCTGTTTTTTGCTTAAAGAGAAATCCCACAGTCGTGGCTCACGAAGAGCTAGAAAGCTGAGGGCTGGGCAAGGGCCGCCCTGCCATGCGGTTGTGGGGTGTTGGAGGCTTCTGCTGGCTTCTGTATGGTTTTATAGGTCTTATGGGGTTCTGTGGTGTTCGTAAAGCCATAAGCTTTTCTTCCCGGCTTTCTGATTCTAGCGTTTCATAAGGGGGGCCCGGTTTAGGGTTCAAAGGGCTGCTCATACAACCTCAGAAATGCGTTTAGGAAAGAACTCAGCGGTACAGTGCCTTGTTTGTTCCAGTACCCTAACCCCTAAACGATTAAACCATAAAACTTAAACCCTTAGACAAGGAGCCCACTCTCCAGAGTCTTTAGCAAGCATGCCCTACATCGTAGGCTCCTGCTCACGTCTAGAGGACCCTTTTGCTGAAAGCCACCCAGGTCAACCCCAGAATCATGAACCTTCGAACCCTCAGGCCGCAAAGAGACGCTTTCTTGGGCGCCTGCCCTAATCCCTACACCCCTAACCCCTTAGCTTTCGGGCTTTGCCCCAAACCCCTGAGGCAACTTCCTGAGGTTCCTTTAGGATCTTTTGGGGTGCGGCATCATCTGGGTTCTTGTTGAGGGACTTCAGTCCAATGACTACAACAGGGATCTACAGCGAGTAATCGGGTTTCCTTAAAGTGGTAACCCAAGCCCAGTCATCTTCTGTACATGGGCTTCGGGTTTAGGGCGCTCGCCGAAAACATCGTCGGAGCGACCATTTGCCGATCTTCCCCTGACGGTTGAAGCAGCCTGGGTGCCAGCTGAATTACGCATTAGGGTTTGGGTTTATGGGCTTGGGTCTAAGATCACAGTGTAACATTTAAGGTTAATTAGAGTTTGGACTTAGAGTTAAAGGTGTAAGGGCTATAGGGTTTCAGGTCAAGGGTGTTGGCTTTGAGCTTAGGAGGGTTGATCAACGATTCGTTTCAAGGAGGGGCCCAAAACGAGGACATGTATCTTGAACAACTAGCATACGATTGTTTAGCATATTACGGGCTTTAGGTTCTGCCCGGGTCATAGGTCTTCAACTGCGGCGGTGCTAATTCAACTGTGGGGTACGCTGCATTGTCCAGTCATCTCCGATCTATGCTACTGCTATCGATGAAACCCTCTGAGGCAACATCATACGCCGCAGCGCTTTCCGCAGTACCGAGGGGTGATAGGCCCCAGCACTCCGTTCTCCAGATGTCGCGGAATGACTTTCTTATAAGGCCCAAGCTGCATGCCTCAAATCCTTAATCAACGCTGAGGCCACCAGGCTACAGGATTGTTAGCATTTTGTTCAAGGACAGGACCCTTAAAAGCGCAACCAATATAGGGGCCTTAACAATTAGTGCGATTAGAATAGGGTTTCGGGGCCCATCAAACTATATTTTTAGGAACCCCCCACAATAGTATAAGGACTTGTTTAGGCCCCTATAGAAGACAGTGCCGACCTCCAGATCAGATACGACTAATGACGGGATCATGGATTGGCACACTTCCCAACAAGAGGCGCAATCATAACCAAGGGCTCTTTCGGATAAGAATGTACGGAATGGATGCCCAACAGGCTCTTCTCGCTTACTTGGCTGGAGATCTTGCAAAGTATTTCAAGGGTCCTTCAACAATGAAAACTCACCAACTGTAACGTGAGGGCCCCAAAAAGCAGCAATACAATTCGTTAGGCTCCTCGATATAACTTAAGCTCGGTATACATACATCTATATATATATATATGTATGATTATGTATGTATACACACAAATACTTATATACGTATCTGTTTATTGTTATGTTTATTTGCTTGCGTACACAGTTGCAGATTACACCAACAGCCCCATCCTGCTTGTGAAGGCCTCTGCTATTCGACCCGCCGCATCTTCAAGGAGACCAAGAACCCTACCTATAGTCTCCATTGTAGTTCCTTTTTTGGTTAACCAAAATCTCTATTATAGGATCCTAACCATAAAACTGGTTCACAAAAAAAAGAACTACAATGGAGACTCTAGGTCAAGCATCGTCGGCTTCAGGCCGATTTTTGCTGAGGCCTGGGCCCTGGAGAGCGTCCTCAGATGCGGGAGTCGACTCCGAAACCCCATAACCTCCCAAGCCGTAGACCTCGAGGCCCCAAAGTAGTTCCTTTTGGGGATTACCTTATAGGATTCTATATATGAGCCCCAAAAAGGAACTACTTTGGGGCCTTTGGGTAGACCTCGAACCCCCCAACCCTAAACCCCGTAAACCCGAAAATCGAAGTCGAAAGCGACAGCCCAGCGTCGTACGTGAGGGGCATCTTGATCGCTCTGCCATCGCCTCCTCCAAAAACACCTTACATAAGGCGTGGAACGCCGGAGCCGGGGGAAGGTTTTGGGGGAATGTAGGAGCCACAGCCTTGCTTGAATGGTTGTAGAACAAGGGGTTTGGGTTGAGGCCTAGGCATAGGGACCACTCCGATCAGAATCGGGAATTAGGATACATGAGACTAGAATGGTAAAACAGAGCCCTGGGGAATAGTAGTACACACTATTGCTGTTCAGGCTTCTAGACTGGATTGCACATAGCGCCTTGGTATATGGGTTGCTATACGAGCGACTTCAACGTTATCATTGATAAGGGTGTCTCTTAGACTCGAAGATTTACTAAAAAGGGCGGGTGCAAGGCTTTAGGAAACCTCAGGAGACCTGCCCACACCTCCTTGCCTTGGAGGTCCCAGCCCTCTTACCACCAAGGAGTGTGAAGCTTGCAGAAGGCGACCTTGGTCCAGCCTTGCCTGGATGGCCTAAGGGGTTGAGGGTTCGGGTTCAGGGATCAGGATCTGCAGTTTAGGCTGAGGGCTCAAGCAGAGACGCTTTATCGCAAAAGCAACATGCTTATAACTTATACCCCAAATTGACCCCCAACCTGGTTCCAATCGTTCACGCCCCCTAAAATCAAAACCAAAAACCCTTGTTGTAAAGGAACCCGTGCTACACTAAGCTGTTCAGCTGGAGTGCTCGCGAATCCGCCGAAAGTCTTGGCCAGATCGCATGGGTGCATGTCCTCCCAGAAACAGTTTTGGGGTTTGCTAGGATGCCCAGCAACCTAGGAATAAAAAGGGCTCCCTCTTTGGTTTTTGAGAACTTTAATAAGAAACCCAGGACTACAGAAAGGGAATAAGGGTAGTACTGGGCATCCTAGTTTGGGGATAAGGGTACACGGCTTAGGGGGCTAAGGGGTTTGGCTTCAGGGTGCGGGGTCCAGTCTGTGTTGAACCTCTCAACTTAAGCACCGGCAGCCGAGATTGGAGACTCGAACAAGACAGGACAGTGGAAAGCCTTGCAAAGCTGCATGTCGCAGCCCAGGGGTGAAACAAAACCGTGAGGCTTTAGGGTTTAGGGGTTCAGGGTTTAGGGGTTTAGGGGTTTAGGGTTTAAGGTGAAACAAGACACTGCGCAAGATGAGGCACGAAGGCCTCCTGAAACTCCTGGAACCCAAAAGCCGCCTTCAGAGCCCGAAGCCGAGGGAACCCCCCTCAAACACAAAATGGCATAGGTAATAATGAAGGTCCCTATACTGCCCTGAACCCTAAACCCTACCAGCAGTACCTTCACCGGAGCCCTCGTGAAATCACCAGGGTCCTGGGCGCCAGCCGCCGACTCCTCCTCGGTTTCGAGCCTCGGAGTCCAATGTATGGGCCGCCATAAGAAAAGGTTTCGGTGGTTTAGGGGTTGGGGCTTAGGGGTTTAGGGGTTCAGGGGTTTTGGGTATTTCTATGGTACCGCATCATAAGTACGATCCTGTTCTTTATTATGGGCTAGTCATATTTGATGAGTATTCAGGCTTCTATATGAAGCACGGTCTAGAAGCTACAAGCCTGAGAGCCCCCCCAGTTCCTAAAAGGATGCCCAACAAAAGTTCCTGCAGCGCAAGGGTGCTACAGTGTAAGTTAGAAGGGGCCCCCACGCTGTAATAGTGGTATGATAGGAATATAATAGGGCCCCAATATAATCCTTGTAGTCACTATTACAGGGTGGGGGCCTCTTCTAAAGTACAAGAGGCTTCATTCAAGCACAGAAACTCCGCAACTTCAAAGCTTCGTTTTGCCGAGGACCTTAAGTCAAGCCACCATAGCAATATGGGAGTTTCAAAACTTAGGGGGTACCTTATTTTGGGGTCCTTAGAATAAGGATCCTACTATGTTTAGGCTACTATTTTTAAGGTCCAGGATTTTCGGAAACCCCCATATGAGATTGATCGGATTTCGGACAAATACAAAACGGAAGCCATCAGGCCCTCAACCTGGAACTACCCCGAATCTGGTGCCATATGGGAGTTTCCGAAAATTAGGGGTACCTCATTTTGGGGTCCTCATAATAAGGATCCTACTATGAAGGGTACTATATGAGGGTCCCCTATTTTCGGAAACTCCCATATCGAAATCGCTGAGGAGCTCATTGGCATTGGCCTCCTTCTCTCCCGCCTCATTCGTCGTCGTCTCCTGTTTGCAAGGCTTCTCGATATTAAACGCCCGGGTTCAAGGGCCTCAAATGGCACAGAAAGACAGTAACTCAAAGGGCCGTGCTGCTCCTGGTTTAGATCGATATGTGGAAGATAAAGAAAACGTGTAATGTGGCGAAGACAGAAAGACAGAGCGACTATCACCACAAAGGAAGGTGTAGCTTAGTGACGGCGATCGTCTGTTAAAGCTGCGAGCACAGGGTTCGGGGCTTGAGGGTCTTAGAGTTTAGGGTATAGGGTCCCGTGTAGGCTTCTCCGCACACAATCACAAGTGTAGAATTCCCTGGCGAGGATGTAAGTCTCATGATCAAACCTAGGATGCTTTATCCAGCCATCCAGCAAAGCGGTTCATGACAGATTGCTATCGAATTGTTTTTTACATCGATGTAAAAAACAGTTCGATAGCAATCCAACGGTCACAGAATGCTGCTCTTGCGCAAAGCTGTGCGAAGGCTCTTGTCTGCAACATGCTTCCTGGCGAAAGCCTCAAACAAAACCCAAATCCTAAACCATAAGCTCTTTGCCGCTGAACCAAAGCGATCCTGCACCTTCTTCCACAGATCGCCGTAGTTGACCTGTTGCAGGATTTAGACAGAGACTAAACGGTTTAGGTTCAGGATGTAGAGTTGAGGGCTTCGTGTCGCGTCTGAATTGCATCCAGCCATAATCGACAAGGCTTCGGAGTTTTATGCGGGGGATTGCAGGGTACCTGATACAGATGTGCATGTATGCAAATCTATGTGCATACATTACTGTAGTTTGTAACATACTTCTGCTTAGGTACTCGCCGCATATATACATGTAGACACACACATGCATTACACACGCATACGGTATATATATATATATATATGTATATATGTGTATATATATATATATGTATATATATATATGTATATAAATATGTTGATATTGTATGCATGTGTATGTATATGTATATGTATATAAATATGTACATGTAAATGTATATGTATATGTACATGTATATGCACATGTACATGTACATGTATATGCACATGTACATGTAAATGTAAATGTAAATGTATATGTATATGTATATATATATATATATATGTATGTGTATAGGTATATGTATATGTATATGTATATGTATACGTATACGTATATGTATATGTATGTGTGTTTACATATACATATACATATACATATACATATACATATATATATATATATATATATGTATGTATGTATGTATGTACTCGGCGATGTACGCACATATATTCACATTGTTTATATGTATACACGCATACGTGCATACATACATTCATACATACACACAGCCTTACATGCATGCCGACATGGATGCATGCATGCAGACCTGCATCAATGCATGCATGCATGCATACACACATACACATGTACATACACACACCTACGTAATTACACATTTATGTACATGTATATGTACATGCAGACAAACAGACAGACAGCTAGACAGACAGGCATACGTGCCTACATACATACATACATGCATACATACATGCATACATGTCTATCTGTGTAGCTATAGGTACACATACATACACTGCCTGCTCATGTATACGTCTGCATGTTGACAAAAATGGCTTTACTTTACGTGTCTGAGATACATCATCCACGCATACTCTACATAAGTAGTGCGTAATGGCAGGGTCCCTTGCAGTCTCTGCCTAGAATTAACATACAGTGTTGATGATGGCTACATGCATTCCTGGGGGATCCCTAAAACAGAGACCATAATAGAGAGCCTTATAGTTGCAGTGTCTGAACATTCTGAAATCAGCCAAGGCCACACATTTGTCGGAGTACTTTGGCTGCTCCGCCCTGGGCTGTAATGGCTCTTTGTGATTTGCGCTTTGTTTCCTTCCTATGTAAGCCGGGCTGTAGAAAATTTGAGGTTTTGGTGCTGTCCCGGTAGTGCCACCGCCACTACGACCAAGTAGTAGCAGAAGAAGTAGTAGTAGTAGTAGTAGTAGTAGTAGTAGTAGTAGTAGTAGTAGTAGTTAGTAGCAGTAATACTACTACTACGACTACCACTACCACTACCACTACGACTACTACTGCTGCTGCTACTACTACTACTACTCCTGCTGCTGCTGCTGCTGCTGCTGCTCTTGCAGCTACTGGGGCTACTCCTCCTCTACCAAAGATGCTGCCACTGGACCGCAAGCCGCTTGCCAGAAACGGAGGACCCGCTATTTTGGATGATTCTGCTGCGAGTTCGGAAGTTTCCCCAAAACCGAAAACAATCTTGGACGCTCTACTGGATTTCTCTAGTTACGTGCAGGTGAAAGACTTCACGTGTAGAGCAACTCATAGCAACGACCATTTCCTGCGACGTGTCTTGAAACTTTTTCAGTCTCTACATGCTGAGACTGGAGGACATGCCAGTACCGATCCGTGAGCCCGTGCAGGCCTGTTCCTCCCACCTCTCAAGCTGGGCACTGTGTAAATAATACATTCGCATAGTAGATGAGGAGAGCACCGTGGGACACATCGGCAGCTTCCCGGAAGGGTACAATCCGAGCGGCACAAACTTTTCCATCTTCGGCTTCGCCGGAGCCTGATGATTTTGCTTCGTTCCCTCGGGGTTCGGTTCATTACAACATAAATCGATTGTTAAAATAGAGTTTGAGTTGTCATGAGCATAACAAGCACAACACGAGCGTGCTGAAGAGTACTCGAGGTAATGAAGCTTTGAGCCCATCGACTGGATCTCGCCGAATCTCGTCTGCCATCTATTAGCTACTAGAAGGGCCTGAACACTTGGCCAGAATATTCCTTAAGGTCCTTTGTCGTCATTGTCGTGGAATCCACCCGAAACGCTTGTTCTACTCATGAAGGCCCCATCCCCTCCATAAAGCAACCCTTACAAATAAATCATGATAAAACAAAAGACTGTACAATATATATATATATATATATATATCTTAATATAGAATAAACTACAATCTAACCTACTATATTACTATCTGATGCCACGTAATCCGTATCCCTTTCTGGAACGCAGAAGGGTTTATACGAGGGCTTCCCATGACGGAGAGCCTTTGGCCTGCTTGGCGGAGGCGGCGGCTTGACCTCCGCTGTCTGGTTCTTAGTAGGGAATTGGGGGAATGGATCCCTATGATAGTCCTTTAAAGTTAAAGTCAATAATCCAATGGGGCCGATTATTGGGGATATGAATGGGATATGGGGCCGATCCCTAAACCCTAAACCCTAGTTAGATTATTGGTGGGGATTATATAGGGACTTCTGTAGGGCTCCATTCCACCATTCCCTACTAAGAACCAGACAGTCCAGGCCAGGGCTCGGAAAAACGCGGCAGAGAGCTGCCCGTTTACGAACCAGGGCTCTCGGGTTTGGGGGTTGGGCTTTTTGGGCTTAGGGCTTAGGGCTTATATGGGTTTAGCGCTCAGGGGTTTACGGGTTTCGGTGTTGCAGGCTTTAGGGTGTAGCGCTTAAGTTTAGGAGTTAGGGGCTTAGCAGGTTCGGCGCACTATTTCGCCTGGGGTTGCGACCATAGAAACAACCAATCAGATTCGCGACTCCTCCCTTCTTCAACGGAAACTTCCGTTAGACGCCCCTGAACCAAGGGCACAATGAGAAGATCACCATAGAAAACGCACAAGCCCTTGTCAACGGGTCAGATGCCTTCTCTCTTATTGACCTCAGCACCGGGCTGCCACAGATCAGCTTGTCTAGTATTCAATATGACTTCCATCAATTGCAAACCTTCGCAAAACATCCAACAGGCCCCTGGAACTAGGGTCCCTTGGTAAGACGCCCCTGGAATTCGGATACCCCAGGGAGGCCTCCGGCACGTCGCCAGGGCCGAAAAGACCACCGCTCGGCGTAGAGACCCCTTTTGCCTCCAAACAAAAGCGGATGGTTGGAATCAGTGCTTGGAGTATCATGGGTAGTTAAAACTCAGCAGAATGATAAGTCCCCTAATATGCGTTCTTATTCGAGCTACACTACTCGTACCTCTCCACAGACAACTACCCATGAACCTCCAAGTAGGGTAAGTAGGGCTTCTAGGACTCAGTACTTGTTCCGAAGTGGGGGCAATCCTGGTTTAACGGGTTTGAGGGCTTGCAGGTGGAGGGTCTTTTGGGGTTTGGGCTTTAAGGGTTTAGAAATACTTAGACTTTCCAACTATGAAACCCGGGCTTCTGGAGCGACCTAGAAGCCCTAGGCTGAGCAGCTCACTGACAGCTCCCGAGAAGCATTCAATGCTCCGGTGAAAGGACATTCAAACAGAGCAAAAGTGGGTATCCAGCAAGGTAAACGCGTCCAAGTACATCAACTTTGTCGGGACCTGAAGTGCAACTCGCATGAGAGAGGGCCGCAGCATTCCCGAAGACTGCGTTCCAGAATGACCGCATCTGCAGTAATTCTTGACACAATGGGACAGGATGCGGACAACGCCCATAGAAACGACAAGTGTGAACAACAACGCTAAGAATATACAAGGATCGTGGGAATCTTGCTGGGAGTGTGATAGCAATACTAGTAGGAATTGCAGCGGACTACCAGCCGCAACAGCAAAAGGAGCCAGTCATCATCATGGTGGAAATATCTCTGCGAACTGCCCTAGAACATGTCTCACCATGACATAACATCACTCCTGTAGAACCCTATATGTCCCTTCATTCCGAACAGATACTATGCATCAAATTGCTGCCGAGGCCTTGAAATCACCATCGAAGTCGTCCGCCATGGTGACCTCGAAACCACCCAGCTTCAAGCCTCGGCAAGCTCGGAAAGCATGCTTCCGGGCCTGTAGGACTCAGGGTTAGCGGTTAGGGTTTGGGTGTTTAGGACGCCAGTTTGGGGGGCCTGCTGTGATTCAAAGAAGGACGACTCCGACGGGGGCCTAGGCCCTCGGCGTCCGCAGTCAAGCAACAACAACTTTTCGAAAGACCATATACCGTAGGGAAGCCACTGTAGAATCCCATAAAACCCTGAACATCAGGCAGGGTGGAGATGAATCCTATTGAAGAAGCCACATTAACCTCTACATGTCAGGGTATATTACCATGTTGCTATGCTACTGTCGTGCTTCCTTACTACATTACCCTACTACCATACTACCATATTGCCATGCTACTAGGCTACTCTGTTAACGTATCACCACAGAAACCCTAAACCCTAAACCCGGTTTGGGGTTTAGGGTTTTGTTGTTGCCTTGGGTTTTCGTTCTCCAGGCGAGTCGCCGGAAGGATCCAAGGCATCCGTCTCGGCAGAGCAGCCGCCTCCGCGTGTCTTTGTTGTCTTTACAGAGTTTTTGTACATGCCAATACTGTATTTTTTTAAGGAAGCTTTGTGACAGTTTGAAGAAGTTTGAGGTTAAAGCGGTTTTTGGAAGAGTTGAGTTGTTGAACGAGGTTTATCAGGGTTGCCGTGCTGTCTCTGGGCCAACGGAACTTCACGAAGTTCCGAAGTGACTAATCGCGGCGGTTAGGCGACCGGGTGAGAAACAGCACCGGAACAGGTGACCAGAGAAGTTGGGACGCTGAAACTCTGCGCTCAAGACGAAAGCATAAACGGTTCTGAATCCAACTGGCCTTCAGATTGTCAAATTTCCGGGCCTCAATCAGAATAGGCTTGGGAGGTTGCATGGACAGGCGCCCTAAGGAATAGTGTTGCCAATGGTGCGCGCTTCTAATCGTCTATTACCTACAGTCTCCGTTGTAGTTTTTTGGGGTTACCTTACAGGATCCCAGCTATAAACCTGGTTAAACAGAAAGAAGGAACTACAATGGAGACTATAGGCAAGATGTAGGGCCTCTATAATCATAATAACAACAAGGAGCCCCCCAAAAAAAACCTGTGTTAACGGTTCAAGCCCCTATATTATCGTGCGCTTATAGATCCCCAACTATATTTGTTATATAAGGAACCCCACAAACCCTACTCTAACTATTCAGGCCCCCTAAATTATAGTACCCTTATATGGCTCACTAACCCACACAATATTATGGTGCGTACCCTTATGGCTCCCTAACCCACCTCCGATGCACCACTTCCCGGTCTCCTCGCTGAACGTCAACCTCGTGGATATCGGGGGGAAGCTCTTCGCAGGGAAAGAACCAAACAGAAATCCCGAATGTAGAGGCCTGAGTAACTAGAATAGGCCTTCTTTAAAGGGGACTATAAGGGCTACTTTAAGGGCTACTATAAGGGTACTATAATGTAGGGGCCTTAGTAACGAGAATAGGGTTTCGGCTTCCTCTGTAGTTCCGTCATAACAAGGAAACATAAGGAAGAGGATAGGTAAGTGTTTAGGCTTCTATACAAGACCCTATAAACTCCTAAACGAGCAGTCTAGGGCCGCCCCGGGGTCGTAGCGGTTCAGTTCAGGGTGTGTTTGGGTTCACTGCTCGGCGGGTAAGGAATCTTACATCTTTACGGACTTACGTCAACACATCATACCATGGAGCCCCAAAGAAGCTAGGCTTCTTTGGGTCCGGGTTGAGGCTTAGGCCTTCGGGACAAGGGGGTAGGATCTGGGCAAGCTTGGGCTCAGTAACGTAGTGGCTGTTATTTATAATAAGGAATCCCCAAGAGCTTTGCAAGGCCAAGCTGCTTGGCGGGCGAGGTGGTCTGCCACCTGCCGAAGGCCTGTCCGGGGTTTACCAGGTTTTGAGAAAATCTTCTTGCTGTTTTGAAGGATGGCGTAAGGTTTGTGAAGGTATTACTGCGATATTGAAAATCGATTCTTTTTTGGGGGGTTTGGGCGGTTCAACCGGAACTTGTCCTGCTACTGCTGCCGGTAGCAAAGCAACCCAGCATTTGGATTCAGTCATCAACACACGAGCACCAAAACTCTGAAACCTGAAACGAATCTTCTACTTGACGTGTTCACAACCCTGCTCATTCCAACTTACTACGGCAAGTCCTTTGATTCTTCAAGGGGGCTCTCAGATAATGTAGGGACTTCTTATGTAGGGGACCTTGTAATAGGGAGCTGACTATTTACGGGCTACGTTTACATATCTCCAGAACCCTCGTCTCACTGGGCCAGCTTGCCCACCCGCACCGCGCACCCTCTGGACGTAGTCCATCCGGCCCGATGCGCCGGCTTTTTCAGGGCAGTATGTGCCCTCGGAGCCTCAAGCTCAGGGCGCTCACTACCCTCCCCTGTTTTGGCTGATTTAGGCAGGGTTCATTGGGAGAGCTCTTCGGAAGACATCCTAAGAGATCCGACCTCCTCAGGTCCTGGTACTGCACGGGATATTCGCTGCTCCTGAGACGTCTCCTGCTACTAAAACACCTTGTATGTTTAAACTATATCAGAGTATATTATTAATTCGAGTGTGCTGTAGTATATGGTAATAAATGGAAATTTGTTATAGTATATCTACTATATCGCACCTGTCTCCCGATGGTCTCAAGATTAACACGACGTGGAACGCAAGGCTTGGAGGACCGGGAGGCCTTCAAGCTAAACATCGTCAACTTGCCCTTGTTACCTTGTTCTCCCGAAGCCAAGTATCGTTATGGTATATACTTATAGGGTATTTTGGGGGTCTAAGTATATACCATAATGATACTTGGACCCTTCGGGTCTCAGAAATGAACAACATCTCCGTAGGATTTCCTGAATGGAGGAGGGCCAGGTCAGAACGCTTACTTGACTCCATTCTGAGTACCCATAGGCCTCATAGTAGTTTCTTTTTGGGATTACCTTGTAGGATTCTACATATGAACCCCAAAAAGGAACTACTATGGGGCCTATGGGTAGGCACACTACATGCCAAAGTCTTCGTTCGGAGCTGTGCAGCTATCGGAGCCACTGGGGCCACTGCCGTGGATGGCTGGCCGGTCTTGGCCATGCGACAAAGTCACCACAGGGGCACCTCCGGATATGTGGATTTTCATCCCCAACTCAACAATAACACTTGTGGTTACAAGTACTCATCATAACAACAATAACAATCGCGCTACGGGAACTGAAAGCAAACGAATAATCACCACCAGGCATCGGACCACTCCATGCTGCATCCCTGCCTCCTTCTCGGCAGCACATGTACTTGAAGCGCGCCCACAGGCCACCTGTGGAAAACCTGGAGTACAGTTTCGTACATGCGGACATTGTGGGCTACTGTCGGGGCCGTTTCGGGGGCTTTGCGGGCAGCAGTCAACCGTTTTGATACCAATCCGCTTTTTTGATATAAGATACCATAGAATATTTACTATATACTATATAGCTCACTATAACATCTTGTGCAGCGACCCATGGCGACCTTCTGACTCCTCCATGTGTTGTGCCAGAGGTTTGCGTGTCAGCAAAAAATATCTAGATATTGAACATAGATGTACCTCAGACTCACTATGCATCGTAACGAGCAGCTCACAGTGCAGCACCATGAGTGCAAGAGAAACCCCAAAGCCTGAACCAATAACGCAAGTGGGTGCTTTGTGGCTCCGAGTTTCTGGTGCAGCATCGCTGATATCTAGAATTTTGCCCTTTCAGCCAAGCGCTTTTGTTAGAAAAGGCTGAAATCAAAATCGGCGCCCTTAATCCCTTAATCCCAACTCTAAACTAAAGGCGCTGAGGCCCCAAGAGAAGCTCTCAGCACGTGGCTCGAAGTGGACAGATTGAAGGAGATCATGTCCAGGACAAACGATGTTCAGACGGCTGAGAACCCCCCTCGATAAATCCTTGGCTGTGATCTGCACAACTATGGCATGCGTTGCCGCGCAGAATATTCTCTCTCTGGCACAACCATAAAGCGGCCCAAAGTGCTTCAAGAGAATATGCGCGCCATGACACGTGAAGCAGAACATGAAGTAACTTCGCTTCGCGATCGACCGCTCGCCAGGACGGCACCAACACAAGTGGTTGAACAAACAGTAAGTCCACGGAACAATCTATTGTTGTACGTCGGTGCCGTTCCGCTGCGCCTTGCATTGAGGTCTTGCTGTACCAAGCTACTATTCTTGATGCCAAACCACGGTCTAGTTTGTGCGCCGAACATGCTGGTGTATAGCCTTCAAGATTAAATGGTTATTGACCTGCCTGAAAGCCCCCTCAACCCGTTCATGTGAAGGCCTCAACCGTTGAAATAGGGCTGGCATGATTATGTGCGGACTATGTATCCAGACCCCTATGCCCTAGAGTCCGCCGTAGCCTCTAGACCCTCAAGTAACTGAGTGCTAGTTGAAGTCGGAATAGCTGGTATCAAAATCCCGTGTAGTCCCCATACAGTGAGTATAGCTAGTATAGTATGGCATAGCATAGTATAGCAGCACAGCACAGTCACAGCATAGCAAAGCATTAGCACTAGCAATGGCGTTGGCATTAGCACAGCTTGGCCCGACACGGCACGGCACGGCAATAGTGGATAAGATAGGATTGGAGTGGATCTAGTGGAGTATCGTATAGTGTCGTATAGTATACTCTCCCTTCCTACTCGACTACTATACTTTACTATACTACACTATGTTATACTTAACCCTTGCATGTTATACTATACTATGCCGTGCTATACTGTACTATACTATACATAATGATACTATCACTATTGATACTGATATTGCTATTACATACTGCATTAGCTATATTCTTGACTCTACGCTACTCGACTCGACTCTACTTCTGTATCCCCTGTCTCAACCCTCCAGGACCCTCTCTCTGAGCCTCTAGGGGTTCCTTAAAGGGGATCTATAAGGGTTCCTTAAAGGGATCTATAGGGGTTCCTTAAAGGGATCTATAGGGGCTCTATAAACCCTAAACCCCAAATCGTCAATCTTTCGCCCGGGCTTCGGTATCCTTGAACTCCTTGGCATCCTTCTGGTCCGTCCAGCCGGGATAGCACTGCCCTCCGGTGGGGGCAGGGTTTTCGGGTTTTGGAGTTTTTTGGAGGTCCCTAAACCCCAAGCCCAAAACTCTACAACTTTTGGGGTTTGGGGCTTTGGCTGTGTTAAGGTCTTTGGAGGAGTCGCGGGTCGCAATATATGGACACGAAGAGCTCTGCAGTGAGAGAGAGAGAGAGAGAGAGAGAGAGAGAGAGAAAAAAAAAAAACAGAGAGAGAGAGAGAGAGCAGATGGGTTTGAACACGTCTGAGGGTTCAGGGAATGGAGGGTTTGAAGGTAGAAGTTTGGGTAGTTCAGTTCTCCAAATTAGGGTTCCTTTTGAACTCCTTATCCATAGGGGTGCCGTACGAGTTTTATCGAGTTCTGCTCTTGCTGCCCAGGACACCAAGACCCGAGGAGGCAGCGCAAATGTACTTGACGTGAAACACGCCCGAGACCTCTGGAGACGGACCCTCGTGACAACCCTATAAACCCTAAGCAACAAATCAACAAAAACTGAACCCTACAAACCTAAACGCTAAAGGTGGCTCCGTTTGCCGCAGACTGGTAGTAGTGATCGTAGCAGCCCTCCGGCATCTTGAGAAGCAGCGTCTACGGAGCAATGCACCAGAATGAGTAGGGCTTAGTGTTTAGGGTTTAAGGCTTTTGGGTTCAGGGTTACGATCCAAGTGACATTGAGGAAGTCGACAGTCTGGAGCACTCTGCCAGGAGGGCAACCCATCTCCTCAGCCGGAAAGAGCAATAGCTGGGCGAGCAGTGAGCACAGGATTGCACACACGCAAAGCTTCCGTCCCGAGACGGAGCAAACAACAACGTCCTCGATGACGACCGGCTCAGGCGATGTCTTTGTATAGTGCATCGCAGTAAGATCTGCAGATAACCGTGATGGTCCAAGTACCGAATAATCACAAACTCTCCTAAATATTAACCTCCAAGTAAAATACGATCCTAAACCCAAGTACCTGACCTAACTATCTTCGAGTCTTTCACAGACGAGGCACCCACTGCTCAAGGTCTTCCCACCAATTCGGCCAGCCATCCACCGAACTCCCCTGCATGGAGACGCGGGGACTAGGTGACTAGATTTTTTGATACCAGAATCCCTTTCAGACTACGTACCGCAAAGTGTCTGGGATGTAAAGCCCTAGTGACCCACTTTTCGAGTACTTGGACCTATCAAGTTGGGACTTGCCATGGGCGTTGGCAGGCTTGCCGCAACAAGCCTCCTCTCGATAATGTGGCGCTTCGTTAGATTGAAGATGATTGAAGCATGCCCCTGCAACACGAAGCGTCAAAAGTCAGCCAAAGTCCGGCTCACGCACTGCTTTGGGTCACCTGCCGTCGAGTGAAGTGTTCCTCGTTAATGCTTCGGCAGGAATCGGGCGTTGGTCAACTTTTGGCGGCCGCTAACATCCACTGACCCAGTCTCTTTACTCTGAAAGTTAGAGCCCGTAGTTCCCATATACTTGGGGACCTATATTGTAATTAGAACGAATATCAAACAAACATCCAATCACACTTTCGCATAGCACAGCCTAAATTGTGGGTTCCTGAGGTGGCTCCTCATACTAGCTCATACTAGCTATAAGGACTCGGCAAAAGATACAAAAGGATCCCTCTTATTTTGTGTTAAGCAATCGTCAAACCCACCGCCGGCTTAACAAAAAATCGGGCTTTGTCCACGGCCTTGGGCCGCCTGCAGCACCAACAGCTCTTCGTGCCACACACGGGGTTATCGGCCGTGTTCCGGTCGTGGTTGTACCTGACCCCAAGGGTCCGAGTATCGTTATGGTATATACTTATAGGGTATTTTGGGGGGTCTAAGTATATACCACAATGATACTTGGACCCTTTGGGTGATTGCGTAGCAGGAATGCAACGCTTTTCCTCGATTGAAGGATCCGCGGACGTAGTAAGTGGGTTTGAACTGGGTTTGTCTTACATATATATTATAACCCCACACTCAGTACCTACAACCTCCTCACAAAGGCCCCCTCGGTATAGGCTTCTTGCGTTGAGAGTAGGGCATTTGCTGCTGAGCGCGGCAGGCGCACCCGCCCCTTCTAATGTTTCTACCTCCCGACGTTTAGGGTTGAGGGGTCTAGATCGCAGGGTTTCTGAACACCCTAAACTCTAAACTATCCCTGAACTCCTAAACCCATTTTCCACCCGCATGTACCAATTGAAAAACTGCATTGGGCTGCCGTCTTCGGACGCCGAGCTTACACCGTATATTGAGTTGTCATTATAGTATGTTATGGTATATTGAATTATGCATTATAGTATATTGTCGTCCATTACACTATAAATTGTAGCATACTATGGTGGAATACATTATGTAACATCGTATATTGTATATGGTATATTCAACTATATATTATATTGTCGTGCATTACAGTATACATTATCGTATATTATGGTACATTAAACCTTACATTGTAGTATGTTATGGTCTATTGCATTAAGCATTCTAGTACATTATGGTGTATGAACTTTAATATCACGGCTGACACAGCTGAGCCAGGATGACAAGCAACACGCTATTTGCACTAGACAGACGAAATACATGAGGAGACATGTCCTGTGCCGTGCTCAGCTGTTGCAAGGGTTTTGCAGGGTTGGCGATTAAGTTTGGGGCCTCCACATACCCACTGCAGTCGCGGCACTGGTATACCCATGGAGAAGTTGCTACCTCATTCCCGGCTTCACACCTCGGTTGACGGCCAAACCTCATAAGCGCCAGACGTCCGCTTCCGCTCTGCTTCCTCCCTCCGTCACATCAAACCACTTCGGTTTAACAAAGAATCCTCAAACAGACACCATTTCAGAGAACCCCCGCCCCTTCCAGTCGAGATGCTTCTCTTGGTCACTGCCCTCCGTGCCCGGGTAGTCCGCACAGTTCCAGGGGCTGAAGAACTGCACAGTGCGAGAGCGGCGATGCTACGAATCAAACGGCCTAAGCTTTTTCCTTCGGTTCCCGTCTATTGAAATTCATGATGCCCCAAAACCCTGTTCTAACCATTCAGAAGCCCTAACTTAGTCCTGCATCCAAGGCACTCCCTGAAAGGTGCGGTTGGTCTTGATCGTCACGGGCAGATCCTCTCTTGCAGGAGCTACCCTGGAAGAAGCGCCCGGCGTCAGCGCTGGCGGTTTAAGGTTCAAGGTTTAGGAGTTTAGGGTTTCGAGTCTCCTACACTCATAAACTCTAAGCCCCGATGCTTTAGGGCTTAGGGTTCAACTTCGCGAGCTAGAGCCTCAATGCATCGCGAGTGCGAGAGGCTCCAAGCCACAGGAGCCTCAAGCCCTGTAGTATTGTAAGGGCCTGAATAGTTACGACTATCATTACTTCGGGGTTGCTTCCTATCACTATGCCATAATTTCCCCCAAAGCCTCTACTCCAACGATCAAGGCCTCTATTATAAAACCTCGCCATCACCAAAACGTAAACGTTAAACCGTAGTGCTTGAAGATGCACGGGTGGTAGGAAGGTGCAACAGGCTATGACTACCGCAACCCCAACTAGGAGGTACTTTGATGAGGTTTTGGGGCACCTTGCATATGACCTGTCGTTACTAAGTGCTATGACCCATCAAAGTAGAGCCCACGAAATATATGCGCCTGACTGAGAAGTACACAGGTTGAACTGGGTTCCCAACTCTTGGTCTTGCCAAGTCTCCAAAATACTAGAGTTCGAACCTGCTTCAGTCACTCTGTCCTTTCTACTGCCAGCGCCCTGTTCGGGCATTCTGGTGACCTCGCAGAGTCTGAAAAGGACTCTGGTATCGAAGAAGCTTCGGGAGTTGCCAGGGAGAGGCCTTTCGATCGACCTTTATGCTGAAAACCCTTCAAACAGAGCCGAACGAACGAAAACTCCCGATTTTTGGGCCCAGAACAACAGCCATCCCCAAAACCCTAAACAGTCCTTGGAGAGAAGTGGGATGAACCGGCAGTCCTCAGATCCGATCGGCTTTTCTTTGGGGGGTTTCGGAGCCCCAGGCTTCCAGATCTTTTACCTGCAAACTGGCCCAGAAATACAAAAATGGTCCAGATCTGATGCTGAAAGTACTTGTGAAGATGACTAAGATTTTTTGGCTGGGACTCCGTCAGGGTGGGTAGCTGACTTGGGCATGCGATCCATGCAGAACAGGAACGCTGACCAAGCTCTCCGCTTGACCCGTCGAGGAAGCACGGCAAACGCAGCAGGTATGAGAACTCTAGGTAGTTGTCAATATTAGGGTCCTTTTTTGTCCGTACTATAATACGGCACCTAATTGGGTGCCCCAAAAAAGGACCCTAGTTTTGACAACTACCCTCTGTAGCTTATGGTCCAAGATCTTGCAAGCACAAAGCCTTTCTCACACTCTTCAAGACACCCTTGTCAAACTCTTGAAAGGGACGAGAGGGTGAAACGAAGCATGCTTGATATGAAGACTTCCCCGAAAAGGAAGTGCGTTCAAACCTCCGACAAAGCCCCTTACATGCCCTCAACGCCCGCAAACCCTAAACCCCAAACCCAGACCCTAACCCGCTTTTCAGCTGAAGCGGCCATCTTGGTGCCTTTCGAGAGATCTTTCATGGTGAAAAGCCCAGGATTCCTCTGCTGGTTGAGGGATTCGGGCTTTTGGGTTTTAGGGTTTCAGGCTTTTAGGGTCTTTGGCTGCAGGGCTTTGGGTTTCAGGTTTACTTTTGAACTCCTGGGGCCTCTCGGGGGCTTTGGTAGCAGGCTTTCCTTATGGGGCTTCTTGGCTTGAGGATTTCATTGAGCCTGACGGTGTCGTGCAACACAGTTGTCTGGAGAGATTACCTGTCACGGGGCATTGTAATCGAAAGGTGAAAAGGCCCTGACAACAATTGGCGCTGCTGTCGAAGCATCAGCCCACCCATGGCAGTGTTTCCGATGCAGCCCTTTGCCACGGCTGAGGTGGGCATCCACATCGTCGAATCCTGGGAAGATCAAAGCAAAGCTTCGCAATGGCTGAAGCCGTGTTGTATGCCATGCCACGTATCAAGATGGATCCATCTACAAGAGACTCCTGCTCCTGGGGAAGGGAAGTGTGACTTTACAAGACGTCTGAGTGGCAACTTGCACGGCAAGCCCGAAATCCACGTTGAGTAGTCAAGCTAAAAACTGTCTTGCCGCATCCAGTCTGCACATGTGTATGCCACCACGCAATTCCCAAACAACTTCAAAGAGCCCGACCTCCTGGATTCCAAAACTATCATGCTTCGTTGAATTGTATGCTTAATGCTTCCGTCATCTTCATCGCGGCTATACTAACACTAGCGACAATCATGCTTATGGCTACTATGAGTATAACACGGTTTCGTTGATAGTCTTGTGACAACGAACTTCAATGCAGTACCAGAAACTATATAAACTCTAATCTCCAAGCCCACAATCCTGAACACCGTGCGCATGGAGCCCAAACCCTGAATCCTGGACGCTGTACGCCATAGGCTGCATATTACTCCATATTCGTTCTCTTGCATGCCCAAGCCACGGCCATGTGAGCAAACGCAGACCTCAGCTCGGGGGGCTTTGAAGCGTTTTGTGATGTTTGTGCCGCCCCCCCTTGTCTGTCTCTCTCTGTACCTACCTATCTTCCTAACAAATTATGTATTATCATGTATTTATCTGACTGACCAGCTACGCGTAGCATGTAGGTCTACACAACTGACTGACATCTAGGTCCATCTAGGTATCTAAGTGCCTATGTGTGTAACAATGCATCATATACTCTCGGGTCCCGGGCCCCTATACTCCTCCCGCCCCCGCGGCTCCCAGCGGTGGTTACAGTCGTCCTCTTGGCAAGATGGAAACATCGCCGCGAATCGGAGCAAACCCACACAAACCACAGGGAGGGAGGACGACGGAGCGGAGGCGATGGGTGTCACAGCAATGGTCCGCCGCAACACAGCCGGCGTCTGCACAGAGGGGAAAACCGCATCATAGGAGGGCCAGAGCATCCCGAGCGACCTGCACGCAGAAAGTACTGAAGTGGTGCTTTGCCTGTTCGAAGTTCAAAGGCCTCGAGGAACAGGGCAGGCAAGCTCTTCTGCCATGGCTTCCTCTTTCTTGGCCTGCCATATGCATGGCAAATCAAGCTAGGAAGCAAGCGACACCGAAAGCTGTCGGGCCTGCTCCAAGGCCGCCTTGGCTTCCGCCAACAAGAGCAACTTTTCCGACGCCCACCCGGGCAGACTGAAGCCCAATCACTGCACTGGGCAGTTACGCAGATGCCTCTTTAGTCGGCGGTGTCAGAGGTAGGCGACAGATTCGGCGATGCCTCTTTGAACACATACGGAAAGGTCACGAGGACAGGAAGACCGAGCGCGAGCGAGCGAGCGAGCGAGAGAGAGAGAGAGAGAGAGCGAGAGAGTTGGAAGAAGAGATAGAGAAATACAGCCAAACAGAGAGACACCGAAAGAAACAAAACAAATTATGGAAGGGACAGGAACACATCATCTCGACCCCAAAGGCTGTGAAGTGCACGCGGCCTTCAAGTCTTCAGATGATTCTGGTGATGCTGGTGTGTCCGGACACACAGGCGCCACAGCCGCAGAGAATGTGTCATGTTGCGTGCGGCAAACCACATCGCACACCTGAATGGCCAGTCATGGATGAAGGGAGTCCCGGAAACCAAGGACGTCCAACAACAGCGTGCGAGATGCTATAAGGAAGTCACTGACGCCTGTGCCAGGCAATGGATCACTGCTCCATCGGTGCAGAAACACACCGACCAAAGCGACAGCTGCCCACCGCTTCAACTTCAGGTCTGCTCGCCTCTTTTCAAGGCGGGAGCGCTCGTCCGCCTTGCGCTTCTTATGTTCCTAGTCCGAGACTTCAAGACTTAGGTGACTTAGGGTATCACTCTCCATAGCCGGCGCACGCTGCAGCGCCTTCTTTGGACCGCCTTTTTCAAGCGCCTTTGTCCTGTGCGGGCTGTTTCTTGGATGCCACCCTTGACACGGGCATTCTTGGCGGCTTGCCGCTTTTCTGCGGCGGTCTCCTCACGACGATATGACATGAATCGATCTCTTGGTGCATCGAGCCGCAGCTGTTAGATCCTGGCGCTGCGCTGCCGTCTTCGAATGTCGAGCGAGCTTCACTGCCGGCCATGCCTGCATTGCTGCAGCATCGCCACATTCCACCAACTTCGGGCCGAGTGCGCCCCTGATGAACGAGTTTCGAGCGAAAGAGTGCTGTGGGCCCAGACGATCACACACTGCCCCCTTACCCTAGTCTGAAAAACTGCACAGCATCAACGCACAGCATGCCAGGATGGAGGAGACCAGAGATCCGCGGGCACTACGCCGCAAGCGGGGCGCGACCAAGAAGACCACAGACCCCACCCGACGGGGGGGCGGGGCAGGAGACAAGGCCAAACAAGAAGACCAGACATGACAGGCAAGGGGGGGGGGGGGGGGGGGGGGGGGGGGTGGGCGGCAGCAGCCCTGCATCAAATATATGCCTACATGCATCGACAAACGTATGCGAGCCCGCTTTTACCTAATTTGTATGTGCAAAGTGCCAATAATTTCTATATAGATGCATGAACACGTCCGATGGTTCGATCTTTACACCGCCGATGATGGAATCATGACAGGTTCTGCTACCGTACACTCAAGCTTCGCTTTCACTGCTGTCGCTCTTCTTTACACTGGACTTCTAAACTCTCAAGCCTCAATCTACTATTATTATACTATATATAGCATACTACATACACTGTACTATGCTGCACTTTACCATACTATGCTATAAGAAACCCTAAAGGTCTTAAAGCCCCCACCATGAATCCCGGCGTGCTCTCAGTGCGGCAAAGGAGCCCGGGCACGACCTGCCAATTTTTGACGCCGGGAGGTTTCCACTCCAGCGTCAGCTGTTCCTGAAGCTCAAAGGAGGTTCCGTTGAGAGTTCCTAGGGGCCAGTATGTAGGGTTTAGGTTTAGGGTTCCCGTCAAGGTTCCACATTTGTTCGATTCCTTTCAGGGTTCGCAAAGCGAACATTGGAGACTGGAGGTGGGTTCTTAATCATCATAGCCTGAGCTATGATCTGGTGCAAGAAACCTGAAAAGGTCGGGTTTAGGTGTTGGGAGTGTCGGGCTTAGGGCAGTCAGTCTGGGGCCGTTCAACTGTCAGGTTCAGACACAGCACCATAGTACATAGAGCCAAAACCAGGTGGCAAAGAAACAAGTCTGGACAAGCGTCATCTCGGTTCATGAACAGACCCTGTGAGAACAAATCTCTGAAACACCTGTTGACTTTAAACTTCCTACCCCCTGTTGTGCAAACGCGACAACTTCATAATCAGCACAGTGTTTTGGGGGATATATACTGGATACTCTAAGTAGAATTGAAAGAGGAACCCTAAGCAACAGAAGATTGGTATTTATAACGCCGTCAAACCCTGAACCCTAAATCCAGATGAACCACGCTGGCCCAGCCTGGCCGCTCTTCTCGTAGAAGTAGACCTCCCCAGGCGGCCAGATCGTTGTAGGGTTTAAAGTTTAGGGTTTGGGTTCCTTGAAGGGTTACTACAGGAACTACCAAACCTGCATAGTGCAGGGGCCTTCATAAGTAGAACGGGGTTTTGTTGCTATACAACAATCACCAGTGGGTGCAAGGCTATCATGGTGGACCGGTGCAAATCACTGTTCAGGAGCTCACTTCGTGGCATGAGGATGTGATGGGGGGTTTCTAGGTTTTTGCGGGCTTTGATGCGGATTTGCAGGAGCTTTCTAGGTTTATCGGGATTCGAAGGGTCTAACTACCCAGAGGCTCCAAAGTAGTTCCTTTTTGGCATTACCTTATAGGATTCTATATATGAACCCCGAAAAGGAACTACTTTGGAGCCTTAGGGTAAGCTAACTTCGCCCACGCCAAGGGCGGCAAAGGAGGAATCCTCGGGAGCAAAGCCGGGGACCCGAAAGGCACGAGCAGGCAGAGACTTCAAACTTGCATCGTTTTTTTTTTGGGGGGGGGGGAATCTTTGAAACCAAATGAAGGGTTCCTCTTTGAGGACCCCAAGTGACGGTCCATCTAAGTAGACTCAGAATTCCTGCTGAAATTGAAGGAAGATTCATAGTTATGTGAATATCGAAGTCTGCAGTAAGCTGCAGGCACCAGACACGGGTTATGAAGTTATAGCATATGTCAACCGACCTGAAGGATTAATCTTGGCAACTGTTCAGTCCTCTATATAAAGCCCTGAACTTTCCAGTACTATCCCTCTCCCCCAACGAGGCGATCCTCGAACGGCCAGCTTCCCATCTTCAGCTCCTCACGAACCAATGTCTCAGACAACCCTTACCTTATGTAACCCTAAGTAACCTACCTTTTTCGGGGCTCCTGAATAAGATTTCCGTATACATGTCCTTGAAGGTAGGTTCTTTGGGGTCCAAGTGGGGGATGTCTTCAAACTTGTATGTTCCAGGCAAGGCTTAAAGCTTCAAACCCCTAAAGAGCCTAAACCCTAAAGGAAGCCCTTGAGTCTCTACTTGGAGGTTCATGTGAAGTTACAATTGGGGTTGCAATAAGTAGCGTAAATATATGTATCACTCATATTAGGGGACGTATAACTCTACTTACTCTACTTGTATAACTACCGGGCAGTACTAGCTGGAGGAAGCCCGAACCACCCAAGGGATGCAATGCCCGTCCTGCTTGCCTTCCTTGGTCCCGGCGTTGTTGCGACAGCCGGTAAGTGCCAAGAACTGGCAGCCAAAGCGGAAGAGAGAGAGGTTAAGGGCTCCCTTAAGGCTTCCTGCAAGGGCTTCGGGATTTTTGGGGTGTTGGGTCTTCGGTCCTGCAACAGACCGGGTGCCGAGCAATGAGACTGTGGGAAGACCATGTCCTTCAAAGCACGCGATGGGATTAACAGTCCAACCAGGAATCGAAAGCCACGGCAGCAGGATGCGGCTAGGCCGCCACGCGGCGCAAACAGGCGGCAACAAGAGGCCGCCCCCCCCGGTTCAAGCAGGCGAGAGGAGTGAAAAGGTGAGAGAAGTATGCTGCTACTGTCAATCACTGTTGTCGCTGTTGTCCTTGTTTTAACACGCAGAATATATTTACGACTTGGGGTTCGAAGACAAATGAAAGCACCGTGTGCAGTTGAGGGGAATCAACCGTGTCCCTTGAGGCACGTGGAATAAAACCCCCCGAGGGAAGAAAGCCCCGGCAGCGCAGGATGCGGCCAAGCCGCCCCCCGGCCAGACGGGCAGAAAAGAAGGAACCCCGGCGACACAGGGCACGGCTACGCCGCTCCCCGCTTGGGGTTCTACGTTGAAGCCTACTGTCTCTGTTCAACAGGCCGGTTGCAGCTGGATGCGGCTGGTTTCTCTGAGGAGACACTGCGGCTCTAAGCGTCAGAGGTGAGTGCAGCTGCATACTTCAAGGCCACGTAGCCGCAGGGGTTGCCCACAACATCCACGACCCCACTTTGTAACTCCTCATGGGGCGTCTGCACCATATGGGAAGTCAGCATGCCGCTCCAAACGACAAGAGATCCGTCATCCTTCAAAGCGGCAAAGGACATCATGCTTGGCCATGAGAAACTCGGAATGCTGACGACTCCACTCTCCAGCTGGGTCAGGCCCTCCTCTGTGTAGGGACCCCATGTCACAACACGGCCGCCCACCTTCAACGCAGCGAAAGCCGCCACATTGGCCGAGATGGACACCACGTCGTTCCCCAGTTCTTTCACAAGGTTTTCGTCGAGATGCGCACCGTCCGCTCCCATTCCCCACCCAACAACCTCACCGTCTTCTTTGAGAGCCATGAAGACGTCATCGGAAGCGGCAATGGAAACCACACCCCCAGATAGCTTTTCCTTGACAGAGTAAGCCATCTCGGAATCTTCATCGGAAAAGAACACGACCGGCTCCCCACCTCGCTCTGGATCTCCCCAGCACACAACTTCACCAGTTGTCTTCAAGGCAGCGAAGGAACAGCCGCTGGCAGAAATGCTCTTCACATCTTTTGCCAGCTGCTCCGCCTTGGAGCCCAAAGTACCACCGCACTCGGGATCTCCCCAGCTGACCACTCCCCCTGCGTCAGTCAAGGCTGCAAAGGCCCCAGAAGTCTGTCCCCAGGTCCCAACTACGGAGACGACGCCCTGTAAGCTTCCAGCAGAGCTGCTGTCACCTCCAAACTCTGGATTGCCCCAAACAACGACCTCTCCATTCTCTTTCACGGCAGCGAAGGCTTGCATAGTCCGAGCAATGGCCACAACTCCATCACGGAGCTGAGCCCTTATCTCTGCATTGGGCTTGCCGCCAGCGTTCGCGTCTCCCCAAACTACAAGCTCGCCTCCCGTTTTCCGAACAACGAAAGCCTTTTCGTTGCCCAGCACCTGCAGGACACCCTGATCAAGGCCAAGAACCCCGTCAGAGTCACCCCCATCCTCCTCCTCGCCTTCGCCCCAGGTGATCACGGAGCCGGACTCTGTCAAAGCAGCAAAGGCTGAGCAGGTAGAAGACACTGCCACGATACCCCGCTCCAGCTGTGCACTCACTTTGGACCACTGTGGTCCGTTTCTACTGCTACCCCAAACAATTGCCTCCAGACTCTGCTTCGACGTTACCATGTTTAGTGCCACAGGGTCCTCTGCTGAACCACCCTGCAACTTCGTGGTGTTAGAGAGAATTGCGCTATCTTTTAGTAGAAGCACTTCCTGCCCTGGTAGCAGTTCCAAGCACTCTTGCAAGCGGCTCTTTATGTCAGAAACGCAGGGCGGCGCTTCGAAGTATAGTGGCCCCAACACCACATCGCCAGCAATCGCACGAACCACAACCGTCGTCATGAAAGAACGCCGGTGGTGGAAGAGACTCTTAAGAAACCGAAGATATGGAAAGGAACTGCAATGGATATTGCCATGACAAGCACCGCAGTTTGAACCTGTATTGCGAGGGAGATCAGCGACAGATGCGAGCAATCCACATCTTCAGCAGGCACTATGTACTGGCACTCTGCATAAAGCTCCGTCTCGCTATTGTAGTTTGTAAACCCCGTCCCTGCCCAAACTTCGTCCACTGGTACCTTGCAGCTTCCTGTCGTTTTGGGCTTGGCTGAGCCGAGCCTTCTTATGCGAGATGTAAACGGCGGCTGCATCGTTCGCGGTCATCTTGAACTGATAGCTGCCTCGAAAGAGAGATGCGATAAGGTAGATTATTTCTTCAGTTCCTACCGTCTTCAGCACACATTGACACCCACACCCACATGCACACACCCGCGCACGCACACACGCACACACAAACATAAACACACACACACACACACACTGGAGCCTTCCCGTGTGTCTAGGGAGGGACATTGCTTCTTTATGTAAACTGTTCAGACCGCTATACTAAGCCCGAGACCGCTGAGGAATTCTTTATGTCAGCGTTACAGTCCGAGACATGGGCAGTTTAGGTAGGTTCCCGAGTTTGCGGTTTCAGAGCTCTGTTTCTAACCCGAATGCCCAAACTGCGTAATACAGGGGCCTTGGCAATTATTAGATTGTTTCCTTTTTTGGGGGGGGATGCTCTCCAAGATGTAACATACGGTAACTAGCGGGGAACCCACAAGGTGTATTTTTACTCATTGACTCGGCCCCTATCTATACCTTAGTTAACCCCCTTCAAAAAGGCCTGGTTCGTTGACCATGAGCACGCCCGAGATCCTTCCGCAAAACTCGAGTCGTGGGCACGTTTAGAGCTTAGGGCTTATATTATAGTATCTTGTAGTAGAGTATCCTATAAGTCTAGTAAAGTATAACAATTTTAAAAATACATATATATATATATGTATGTACATATATACATATATATATACATATATATATATATATATATTTACTTATTTATTTATATATTATATTATATTATACTATATTATATTATATTATACTATATTATATTATATTATATTATATTATAGTATATTTAGAGCCGGGCTTCGAGTTTAGGGTTCAGGGTTTCCACCTTAAGAGCGCTTGATGCTATAGGGTCGCGGAATGCATTGTTGTAGTTCAGGGATCGATGTTTACGGGTCTTTGCCCTCTTTGCGCTCTTTTCAACCTGGGTTTAGGCTAGCGGCGTCGGTTTTTAGGGTTGAGCCGTCTGCGTACCCGAGGCATTCTTCACAGACCGTGCGCCGAGAGCAGGGCTTCGACTGCTAAAATCAACCGAAACTACGCCCCGGCTCGGGGTTCCTTGCGGCGAACTTGTCGTTGGACTTCAGGCCCGTCCAGGCTGCACCACTGCCACCGTAGTTGAGCCTCAAGCCGTGAGGCTTGCCACCACGAATACGACGACTACGACGACTCTACGACTGCTTCTACTACCAGTGCGACTGTGAGTTCTGACCCCACGACATTCTGACACATGCTGGCCCCCGCACGAAGCAAGAACCCGTCAGCCGAGATTCTGCGAGATGATGACCATCTGCACAGGGGGGTGTGGCTTCCGAGTTCAGGGCTTTGAGAATCTACCATGAGATCGTCAATATTCTACTTCTTGCAGTTCTCATGAAGGTCACACTAGCAATTCCTGCTAGTGACGGAATACTAATAACATCACGAACACAGCCACGGCAAGAATGGAACAAGCTTCAGGTTCGAGATCTTAGGGCTTAGTTGAGATTCTCTGAAGCCCTGACGCTGCTTCCGAAATCCTCAAAACCTCAGGCCTGCAAAGCCCAGAGGCCTGAATGACAAGCGCTTAGAGCTTACAACTGTAACATAATGGTCCCTGTACAAGTAAATACCTGACCACACCCCAACGCCTGCGTCTTTTGAGGCCACTTCCTTAAAACAAAAGCTGGTTGAAACATCCATAGAGCTCTGGGAAGCCACGGATACCTAAGGCCCACCAGCCTTGTCAGGCATGCGGAAGAGGATGTTCGGAATATCGCAGCTCCAGCCCTTCCCGCCGCCCCAGGTTTTTTTTTGGGGGGCCTCCCTGGAGTTGATCATCGGGCCTTTATAGAGGTCTTTCTTGTAGATACCCAAAACCCCAGCCTGATCCTTCAGGCCCCTGCAAGAAACTCTTACATGGCTCTGGAGATCAGCTTCGAACCCTGCTTTTGGACTTTTCGGCCTGCAGAAACTCTAATTTCCTATGGGCTTTCAAAGCAAGAACGCCCCTTACGGTCCGTACATAACTATAGAAGGAATGCGTGAACTACCGCAAAACCCTATTCTGGCCCCTCTCCTGGGTTATGGGGCCCAGGGACCGTACGTTACGGGGCAATGGCGAAATTGCAGCCATACAAACTCGAACATGCAACCACGCGCATGTGCATACAAATGCGGTATCCTAACGAGTGTAGATCCATAACTTCACACACACATACATGCATACGCATGTGTATGTATGTATGCATGTGCCCAGGACGAAGAACATGATAGAACACATACTGTCTGCATATGTACTGTATAGGTACATGTACATACAGACATGTGCACACACCGTTGGAAATACTTAAAGCGTATGCAGACGACGCAGCAGAGTCACGAATCACAGTTTTTCGCGTGGTGTCTCTTCCAAAGCAAAGACGATCCCAGAGACTCCAATACCCCACCTTAATTAAGGAATATACCTTTCTATATAATAGGATCCTTAATATGATTTAAGGTATATTCCGTAATTAAGGGATATTGGAGTCTCTGGGATTTTCTAGCTCTCGCTTTCCCCAAATAGCGCCTGGTCGATGTAGTGATACTCTGCCTGTCACAGGTGGCAAAACGCGGTGACGACTTTCCTACGGGTCTTTCGTGTGATATACCGGTCTGAACAGCTTCGTACTACGTATTGTATGTTTTGTGGCCCCATACAAGTAAAGGCAGCAGAAATACCTCATACCGCATCCCGCTTCGAATCTTCGAATTATGAATGAAAGCCACCGTATCTAAGCCTTCCTTCCCGGTACGCCTTCAGCCCCGGTCGAAGCACGTTGTCTTGCAGCCAGCTGTTGCGATGCAGCATGGTGAACATGTATCCTCGGTTACAGCAGTTGGGAACGAGAGCTGGTGACTCGCGCCTGCTGATGGCAGACGAGGCAATTTCTGTCGAATCTAGCCTGGGACTAATGCCCCCCAAAATAGCAAAAGCAATGCTATAAGTACAAACAAGAGCAATTCGAACCCCAAGCAACAGCTCATTCGAGAAAAAAACTATCACACATGGAAGGGGTGGCTGCCGTTCCGTGGTAATGGTCATGGCGGTAAATATGTACAGCACATGAGCACGCGCGTCGCAAGTCAAGACAACATCAGCACCACAACAACGGCAATGACGATACCGGCATTACCATCAACAGCCACGGCCACAGCCACGGGCACCACCACCACCACCGCCACCGCCGATCACAAAATCCTGTTCTTTTACTCCCCCTAGCCACAACAACAAGAAGAAGAGCAGCAGCAGCAGCAGCAGCAGCAGCACCACCACCACCACCACCACCACCACCGCCCCCACCACCGCCACCACCAACAACAACACAGTGCCTACAGTATGGTGTATGCCTGTACCAACAACCACAACCACAACCACAAACACCACAACCACCACAACCACCACAACCACCACCACCACCACCACCACCACCACCACCACCACCACCACCACCACCACCACCACCACCACCACCACCACCACAACCACAACCACAACCACAACAACAACAACAGCAGCAGCAACAGCAACAGCAACAGCAACCACCACAACCACCACAGCAGCCGCAACAAACCACAAACAAAAACCAACCATAAAGGACGATCAGGAGGAGGACGACGCTCTTGATTGCAAGCGTTGCTCGAAATCGTGTATATCATTCAAACTTCCATCAGCATTCTACGTATCGTGAATGACGGAACTGTTGTTGATCATAAGACAACTACTGCAGCAGAGTTCATCACTTCAGCATTGCAGCGTCGTTGTGATTGCAGCCGGCATGCGCACATGACCATGTCTCACAGTCTTATCCGCTCGTCCGGCTGCCGAGCATCCCATGTCGTGCGCCGGAATGAGCTGGTGGATATCATCCGCTTCACACTTCTTGTAGACCAGAGCCATGCTTTTCTGACAGGGCCGGGGTATGAGTTTGTGAGGTTCTGGGTTGTTTGGAGGCAGGGGTTGAACATCTCGATTTTGAAGGCTAGGTTCTGATGCCTTCGGAGGACGAGACACCTTGTAAGCTACGACCGCTGCGCACCTTTCCCGCACCGGGCTGATATTCCAGGCGCAAGGCAGGAAGGAGTGCAAGTGGAGGTAAACACCAAAACCTCAACCCCGAACCCTCAAGACCCAAACACCCGAAACGCCTCCATTGGTTCCACGGCCACACATTGATTGTCCAAGTCGTTAATACGAAGGCGCCTGGCCAGAGGACTTGAGAAGTTGTGCCCCGAATTCAGAAATAGGGTTCCTTTAGCGGGTTCTGAAAGAGTTGCTCTACGGGTTGCATAAGGCCTCTTCTAATAGAGGGGCCTTAACAATTAGAAAAAGGTTGTGGGAGACGAGATGATGTACAGCATCGCGCATGATTTTTAAGTAGCTCGGCCTGCCGGGAGCAGCTACAGTCGATGAGTTTAGGGTTTATCCATGAGAAGGACTTTGCTGCACATGCCATAGTTCAGTGTACTGAAGCTCATGTAAGGTTTTGTCCATGAGCAATCAACACCCGAGTCGCTAGGCGTTGAAATAAACCTCCCGGTGGCGAGGACTTGTGCCTCTCTAGCTCATGTCGGTGGCACGAATGCGACAGCACATTCTCACTACTGCGCGTGTCGTTCTTTTGTTTGCACATGACCGTGGAGTCTAAACAGTCACATGGGTCTATCGGGATTTCGGGCTTCGGGTTTGGCGTCCAAGCCATGCCTGCTGGAGATGTCGGAGTCCTTCCAGGACTGGAGGCTGTAATCCTCGGCTGCCAGTGAAGGCTTCCTTTAGCCTACTCAAAGGCCCCAAACTAGTTCCCTTTTGGGGTTCATATATAGAACCTTATAATGTAATAACAACAAGGAACTACTTTGGGGCCTATGGGTACCCCCGAAACCCCTCATCCCTATCAACCCGGCCAACTCTGAACCCTTTTCTCTGTACTTTCAACCCTATAGTTCCCCTAAACCATACAAGTATGCCCCAAAGCGTATACCCCAAGCACCTTTTGACCAAGGAGCTGTCGGACAGGTGGTCGCTTGGAGAAGAGTCATCTCGTTCTCCTGCGCAAGTATGTGGTAGGTTTGGCGTTTAGGGTTTTTTCAGGGGTTTAAGGTTTAAGGGGGTTTAGGGCGGGTCTAGCGTAAGGGGTTTTGGTTTGGTTGACTTGGGGATTAGGATTTGGGGCTTCCGGTTCGAGTTGGGGCTCGTGGTGGTTGCGAAGGTTCACTCAGGCGGTCGCAGGACTTGGGTCTGCGGAGTGTTGCCCTTCTTCTTCACCAGCGAGGCCCCAATCAAGTTCTGTATATGTATATATATATATAGGATACATATATACATATATAAAGTACATGTACATATCAATGATATGTGTGTGTATATATATATATATATATAATGCGAGGGCCTTAATAGTAAGTGGGTCTCAATTAATGCCTTTTTGTTGCTTATTCGAGCCGGGACCAAAAAACAGGGTGGCCTAATTAATGCATTGTTTTTGGGCTGGTGGATTTTTGGGTTGGTTTGCTCCTGTCTGCTAATGGTGAATCTTGAGGCACGCACGACCCAAACCCCCACTCCAAGCCCTAAAACCCTGGTCCTGACGCCCGAAACTCTCCCTACTTCCGAACCCCCCATAAGCCTTAACCCTAAACCCTAACCACACTGTACTATTGCTGTACTACTACGGTACTATTGCTGTACTGCTACTGTACTACCGTACAGTACCAGGCCCCAAACTTGGTCGATTGTGGAGGGGAGTGTAGAGTGCAGGGGAACGTCTTCAAAATAGCAGGCTTTGAGTTGTCTTGGTGTGATCGGGGCTTGGTTTCGAGCTTTTGGTCATCCTAAACCCAGCTAAACAGCTCTAGGTACTCCTAAACCCTCGTATTGTACTACTACTGTACTATTACTGTACTACTGTATTACTACTATACTACTACTGTTCTGTTGCTGTACTACTGTGCAGCACCAGGCCGCAAACTTGCTCGATTGCGGAGGGGAGTGTAGGCTGGAGGGAAAGACTTTTCAACATGAAAGGGTTTTAGTCTTGGTAGTTATCTTGGGGTGGTCGGGGCTTGGCTTCGACCTTTTTGGTGAACACCAAACCCCGGCATTCGCGCAGAAGCGCAGACACTCCTCCCAAGCCCTCCCCAAAGCCGTCGGACCCCCTAATTCCCTCTTAACTTAATCAAAGCCACCCAGACCCCCAATTCCCTTCTAACTAGATCAAAGCCACCCCAGGACCCTGAGCCAGCCCCCAAACCCCGGGACCCCCAAGTCCC